GTCCCATTTTTAGGAATCTTGACCATGTTTGATTCTGCCCCTGGTATTCTGGCCTGGCTTCTGACTAAGCTCCCCCCCCAAAAAAAAAAATTCGCTTGTCATGTCTCTAGTGCAGTCCTTTTTGCACGAGAGGAAGATGATTAAGGACCTTGTCTAAGAAGCTTCACTTTTGAGAGATACAGGAGAAAACAGGTCACCAACTTCTTGCTATACATGATCCCTGTGAGGCGTATTTTGAGAAAGCACTTCTTTTTATACATGAGCATAGATTGAGTGTAAACTAAAACCCCTAAGCCTGTCTCTGCTTGGAAACACAGGATGGTGGGGTTTGGGGCAGCTTGTCAGACATTGCGGGTCCAACATTCCTTTCTTTAACACTGCCCATTTCTCTTTTTATGTCCAGCCCAAATGACTTTCTATACAATCATGAATCCAAAATATACATACCAGGAAGAAGTAGTTGACACAAATGCTTTGAATAAGGGAGTGGGTAGCTATAGGGGAATAAAGGCAAAAAACAGTTTGATGTTTTTAAAGGCACTGAGAGTGAACCCTGATATCAGTACAGCACTACTGAAACTACACAGTATCAGAAGTGTGATGTTTTTCCTGTGCTTTGCATTCATTGATTAGTGTGCAATTCATACATTCCAAAACTGGAAAAAACTATCAGGTTCATGGCTAGGTTTGGAGGTCAGATTCTTATACCCAATTAATAGCTGGAATTTGAGCCCCAATCAGATTTTGTTGCATAAGACTTAACAGTTGCTGGATAAGCAACCAAATCAACATCTGAAACTGCGATTTTGAATTCAGATTTGTTCAAAGTCTAGTGCTTTTGGCTTCCTGTGTGGGTTAACCAGTGCAAGTACACTTGGGGTAAATTGTATCCAGGACTGCTGTATTTTTTAAATAATTTTTAAAATTATTTTCTTGCTTCAAACACTAACAACACTGCAAACACTACAACACTAAACTAAAATATAAGCTACACAAGGATCATTCAAAATGATTGGTCATTAGCTTAAACAAAGTTCCCACTATAGTCAAATTAATGGAATGGAGTTATTTCTTACCGCTTCCTTACTAATTGGTGTTTATATGATTAAATCAGGTAGTTACAGTTTAAACAATTTAACTTTCAAGCTTATAAGATATTATTTCAGCTTCTTTTCTCTGAGCTTTTTATCAAAGTTCCATTGGACCTTCAAGTGTTTTGGGGCTGCCAAGTTTTTTTGATGTTGAGCTTTAAGCCCACTTTTGCGCTCTCCTCTTTTACTCTGAGCAAGAGGCTCTTAAGGTCCTCTTCACTTTCTGCCATTAGAGTGGTATCTGGATTACTGCCCGCCACACTTCCCGAACTTTCCAACCCATATGTGCTGCCGCCTTCTTCCAACTCTTCTTCCTCTTGCTCTCTTGTCGTACGCTGGTCTTCATTGCTGTTCCAAAAACGCCTTCGCTTTAAAGACAGAGTCATTTTTTTTCTTTTTTTTCTTTATATTTGAAGACAAGTCCCTCAAGTATTATCCATTTGTATGGTGTGGAGTTTTTCTGCAAAAAGTTAGTTAAGTTTTTATACTGTTTTCCTTCTTATTTCAAATGGTATGTCTTTTAAGACTCTAATTTCTTTGTCTTTGATTTTTAGAGGTGTTTCATTTGTGGCCTTGAGCACCACAGATCTCTTTGAGAATCTCACTATTATTTCCCCAGGCAGGTTTTTTTTCTTAATAAATTCTGGATATGCAGGACTGCTGTATGTATAGCCAAGTTCCACAGCAAGAAACTGCCAAAATAGAAAATGGTTCTAAATAAATTGGTCTAAACAAGGAAGCTTTGTAATACCCAGTATTCCATGTCAACTACCACTGTCGCTCTCTCTCCCCTTATTAGCTTCAATAGCAGCCTTGAGCTATCAATGTTGCTTTCCCTTCCTTCTGCATGAGCTCCTACTGTTCTGTTTTGTTCTGTCTTTGTGTAAAAAGCCCTCTCCCATGTGGCTGATGGGTTTTTCTGTTTAAGATTACATTACTTCCTGTGTTTTCTGTCTCCTTCCTTGTCCCTCCATTCTGCTGCCACTGTGTAGCATTCCTAGGGACAAGAGTCAACAAAAACATGCCAAGACACACAGCTGTGAAAGGTCAGCTCTTAAGAAATGAAGCATGGGGACCTTATTTCTGGATTAGGTGTAATAATAAATAGTGAGTTCCTTGGTGACTGCTCTGCCGGAATAGGGAGGATTAAATAGCTCTTTACATTCATACTGGACTAGTAGCAAAATCCAAACCAAGAATGCAATCCACAGTACCTTTAATGAGGACCTACTGACATGTCACATTATAGTATGTGTCTGATATATTGTCTATTGGTCAGAGAAAAGGCTGGGTGGAACTTGACATCAGCACCGTTTGCATCTGCTCTGCATGCAACACAATGCAGGATTAAACAAGAATTTAACATCACCTCCTGAGGCATTCCCTTCAAACCCCCTTTTTATACTTTGTGTAACGTCTAGCTTGATGAGTTCTAGAGAATTCCAAAGCTCCTATTCAGGCTCCTACACCTATTCAGACTAAATTTTCAATTCAAGCAAGACACTTCTTCCAGTGCGGCAGAATGTTCCTCTCTCCCCACCCCGCAATCCACTGAGTTTTCCAAAATGCTGGGGGGCTGGACCCTCAGGAACAGCACGAGCAGAAAAATCAGGTCTGCGGCAAGAAAAGGGAAGTGATGGAAATTACTCCACCTCTTCCATTTGTGAAAAATTTCATTGGAATCCAGCCAACAGTTGTGTGGCATTTGGTTGATCCTAATAAAAGGTGTCAAATGAATTGCGCTAGTCTTAGTCAAGTAAAGCCTGTGTAGTGGAATATTAGTCACGTTGATCTTAGAATGCAAATGCTAAAATGTGTATCGGTAGACCTTACAATGCAAATGCTAAAATGTGTATCGGTAGAGCACAATGCAGTCAAGTAGTCAACCACATTACCAGTGTATGGCTGATGCCACATGCAGTGATTTATTTCTGTGTGTGTAGAAGGCAAGTGGGAAGGTACCCATGTGCCACTTGACAGCATTTAATTTGGCTCTAGGTATGTGTGCACAAAACAAGTGCTGTGTGAATCATGGAGGGTGTGTTTGTGTGTTCTGTCTCTCTCAAAATATTTGATGCTATCCTGCTCATTGTTTTCAACTAGTTTCATGCAGGCCAGGACTTCACGCATAGCCAGGACTGTTTAAGTCGGGGGCATTTAAATTGGGGGGGGGGCTGGGGCTAGATGGGAAGTCATTGGGCCTTTGAAGTAAGTTGGGGGGCATACCTCATTCCTCACCATAGCTACGAGACACATGTCAAACATATAAAGGCACCTTTCACAATGCTGAAGTACTCCATCTGTTTTGTACTTGTAGCCATATAAGACATGTTGTCTGTGAAACAGCTCTGAGCTGGATTTTTGTTGTTCATCATCTCTCTCCTAAATTTAACCTGGAAACACAAGATTCCCTTGAATTAGAATTCTGAAACCTCTGGGAAGTTGTTAACTGAAGGTGTCCTGCCTTGCCTAGGTATACTTTCTGAAAGGCCTAGTTGTTGCTGAGGTGGTAAGCTTAGGGCTGGGCTATACTAAAGATAGCATCTAAAGCACTGAAAGCCACATGGAGCTCTTCTGAGCATTGTTCTCCACTGTGGAACCAGCCCATTTTTCAGGAAAGTGGGCAAGGCCCTGGCTTGGTAGAGCTCATGGTTGCGTGGTGGTTCCCACCTAGAAATCCAGAGGAACAGGTAAGCTGAAAGTCTTGTTCCAGGGATGGAAGTAAATGTGGCTCCTCTGGTTGACGGTACTTACAGATGTGGCTCTCCATCTCTACAGAGTGAGTACCACTGACTCAGAGGCTTATATGTGTCAACGCTCTCTTCCACAGAACATTTCTTCTAAACATCTAGTTTTCTACAGGCATGGTTTTTCTAATAGTTCTTCATACATTCATAGTCCCTGCTATGAAATAATATAGCCCAGACACAGATTTTCTGCCTTGGATTGGGGCCTTATGGGGGAGGGGGAGCAATAAACTCCTATACATATGGGAACCTAAATGTTTTACAGAAGTACTTTGGGGAGAAGATTATGGAAATGTAACAGAGCCCACCCCCATGTTCATTCCCCACCTCCACAAAACCTGAATTTTTGCTGACTTTTGTTGAGTAGGTTCAGGGCTGGTAGCAGCAAGTCCATTCAGTGAAGCTGTGTGCCTAAATACGGTGAAGGGCACACCTCCCATTCCTGGTCAGTGTCTGCACTTCCACACATGGACATGCTGTGTGTAGACAATATTTTCCCTTAGCTAGGCTAATTGGTACTGCACTGAATATCATGGGTTTATGCTCAAGAGCAAATGCACGAGTTTTACAGTGTAGAGGAGTCTAACACACCACAAGTTTCTGGGGGTTAATGCCCACCGCATCAGCTATATGAAGTGTTTTTCAGCTGGGAGATTATATACAGACATGGGGGGGGGGGGAAAGGGGTGCAAAAGCCAACAGGATGCCAGAGATGCTAGAAATGGCACAGACTGACTCAAGTGCTATACATTTCCTTTTGGTTCTTCCTGCAATACGGTAACATGATAATCACTCTAGGCAGCAAGCTAAACTGAAGCCTGTGGAGTGGTCCCTGAAGAGCATGGAGTAACTGGGGAGGCAGACTCTTCCTGCTCTTCAATTTCACTGGTTAGGTGTACCAGCTCTGCAAAATTCAATTGAAATATGATGCGCGGGCTCTGGCACCCAGTGTTTATTGGGAAGAGTCTCTAAGCATGTTGTGTGCACAAGTACCCTTATTTGTACAGACTTGCTTCAGTTGGAAGAAGAGTCTCTTTGTACCAGTGCAGAGGAGGAAGAGGCTTTCTGTAGAGGCAGCCTGCACCCAGCAGCAAGTTCAGCTCCATACTAGCAGTCCAGTTCCTGAACCATCCTTTGTAGGATCCTACACAGTCTCTTGGCAGCCTCTATGCCCTTCTATTGTCCTTGCTGCAGCAGGCCTGTAGCAGTGCGTAGTTCCACCAGAGGAAAGGCTACTGGAATGATGGGATGTATTTATCATGTGCAAAGTTGCAGTCTGGGAACACACTTCAGGAGACATTGCTATATTCCAGATTCTCGAGAAGACTTCTGTGGCTGTAGGGAAGGAGCAAGTAGAACAGTCCAATAGCTTATTATACTACTATATCATCCATATATTTCCCACTCACCATCTCCTGCCTTTGCACCTCATTACAGCAAGCAACCCACAGTGTTTGCAGTTTGGCTTGCAAATCTTCCCCTCCCAGGGATCTTTTCCCCTAAAGGAAATAGCTGTATTTGAGAAACTTCCTTTTTAAAAATGGAAACGATGCAGAACCATAGGATCACCTATCTTAGTAAAGACTCATGTGCTTACAGCAACCCAACACTCCCTTCACTGGGGGTAGTCCTGAGCTTTCCCTCTTTCTGTAGCCATGTTCCCCCTATTATAGAATAGCCTCCCCAGGACTACCAGCTAGAGCCTGTCCCTTTCAGCCTTCAGAAAAGCCAGGCTATTCCAGAGAGTGTTTCGCAAATGATTATTGGATGTTTCTGGATACTCAGTTATAGTTAATTATGACACCTGATAAAATTGTAATTACATAGGGGCTTTTTTTGGGGGGGGGGTGTCGTTTCTAATTTTATTATGGTCTGAATTCTACAGTTTATTAGGGGTTTAATTTTTTAAAAAAAGATTGTAGACCAAGTTTGTTTTTAATTAATGATAATGTTCGGAAGGATGGGATATACATGACTTAAATGCAATAAATAGAAGAGGGTGGGGCTACAGAATAGAAAGCCTTAGCCAGGCTGAAAAACAGTTCCAGAACTGCAGGGTTATCCAGAAGGTGCCAGTGATGATCTGCAGACAATCTCCAGATGGGGTAAGGGACTGAGTGAGGGGGTGAGATGAGGAGGAAGCTTTCAGCAGTTTTCTCTTACCCGTAATGTGTTGAAAGTCCCTGTAGAATTGAACTCTGTATACTTGTCACTACTTTGGGGCTTGCCACTTCTGTGCCGGCAAAGCAATCGGCAGTAGTCATCACGCACCTGAACACAGAATAAAGTTATGATTGACATGCATGTTGTAATAATCTTCAGCATTTCTGAACAAAAGCTCTCTCTTTCACTATCAAATCACAGCTGAATTATGGTGACCCTGTAAGGTTTTCAAGGCGAGAGACATTCAGAGGTGGCTTGCCATTGCCTTCCTCTGCGTAGCAACCCTGGATTTCTTTGGTTGTCTCCCATCCAAGTACTAACTAGGGCTGACCCAGCTTAGCTTCACAAGATCTGATGAGATCAGGCTAGCCTGGGCTTTCCAGATCAGGACAAAGAAACTCTCTACAGCCAGACAATTGTATCCTTCAAGAACTCCTAAATGCTCTTAAATACTTAGATCTTACAGCCTCACCTGAAAGTTACTGACATCCCCAAATGCTGAACTCTGCAATTCCTCATCGTCTTGCCTTGCCCCCTTCCCCATGCTTCAGTTACCTGTTTCTTGAGCAGACAGTGCAGGACGAAGATGAAGAGCCCCTGGAAGCTGTTGAGGATGGTGAAGATGTAGGACATGACAAGGCTGTGATCACTGAACTGAAACATGCCAAAGATCCAGGTGGTGCCCAAAATACAGAGCTGGGCAATGGCTGTGATTACAAGTACCCTGAAGACAGAAAAGAATTGAGTGCACAAATTATACCGATGGCTACAATCCTTGTCCTTACAGGAGGCAGTCAGGATCAGCCCCAGTGTCAACTGCTACCTCAGCCAGTCCTAGGTACAGCATGATGTCCTTAGTACAGTTCTCTACGACAGCAATTCCCAAACTTTTCGGTATGGTACCCCATCCAGGACTGGCCCAAGGGTTTTGGGGGACCCTGGGCAAACTATGAATCTGGCATCCATCCAGTTCAGCATTCCATTTTCTACAATGGCTACCCAAATGTTTTTGAGAAACCAACAAACATCACTCAAAGGACACAGCTTCCCCCCCCCCCAATCAATCCTAAACAAGCAGCATTCCGACATATACAGCCTTTGCATATGGAGGTTATATTCCAGCCTTTGACCACCATCTCCTTTTCCACTACTCTCTCAAATCCCCCCTAATATTCTAAGAAGCTCACTCTAGTAACCATCGGGACACATTTTGCTTGATCAACAATACATGCAATGAGGGGAAAATACCAAAGAATGTATGACATGGAAGGTACTGTTTCCAGGATCAGATCTTCATTTCCAAAACACAAAAGAGAGCAATGGAAAGGGCAGGGGCAGCGATTAGGGAAGGCTGGCCTGTGACTCACTTTCAGAGGCTCTGTCTTTGATCCCACCATTGTTAATTCAAAGGAACCAAATATACTGATGGCCGTGGAGTGGCCTCCAATTAATGCTAGAGAAATGTCAGATTTAATTCAATGATTAAAACTTCATAAGGTTCCTGGTCCAGATTTAAGGCCAATCCAGTGTGATGGGACTAGGATCCTTGCTCCCTTTTTCTCTAGAAGAAATACCTCAGGAATTATGCCCAATTCTTGGAAGAGGGCTATTATTGTTCCAATATACAACAAAGGAAGTTTTTCAGATCCACAAAATTATCTACCTATAAGCCTATTATCTGTGGTAGGGGAACTGTATGCTTCATTCCTGTATAACAAGTTAACATCTTGGGTCTATTTATCTAACATTCTGGGAATTGAACAAGCCAGCTTTCAGAAAGGCCCTCTCCATAAGACCACAGCCTGGTTTTACAATTGCTAGTGGAAAAATACACTATGGTAAAATGGGGAACCCTCTTTGCCGCTTTTATGGATTTAAAACAAGCTTTCTATTCAACCACAAGAGAGCAACTTCAGAAAAATTAGAACAAACTCAATAGACAAAAGGCTATTATGGCTAATCCAACTATTATATTCTAATTCCTCGTCCCAAGCTTGAACAGGAGTTTTAGGACAGCTAACTAATGAAATCCTCCAAAATAAAGGGGTTAGGCAAGGCTGCTTATTGGCCCCTCTTTTGTTCAATCGATATATAAATGATCTAGCAATCCTTTTAGCTCCCACTTTTCTTGGATAAAGCTAAGGTCCTGGATCCCTTCCAGTCCAGCTTCCACCACGCCCATGGGATGGAGATGGTGCTGGTCGCCCTGGTAGATAACCTCTAAAGACATTTGGACCAAGGCGGTTCAGCAGCACTCCTAATTCTACTCGATCTATCGGCAGTGTTTGATATGGTTGACCATGAGGTGTTAATCCACCGGCTTGCTGACACTGGGATACAGGGACTTGCCCTGCAATGGCTAGCCTCCTTTCTTCAGGGTCGGGGACAGAGGGTGGCACTTGAGGGGGAGTTATCCCAGCGGCACCCACTAGAATGTGGTGTTCTGCAGGGTGCGATCCTCTCCCCCATGCTGTTCCATATCTATATGCACCCCCTCACCCAGATTATCCGGAGATATGGACTGGGTTGTCACCAGTATGCAGATGACACCCAGCTCTATCTACTGGTGGACAGCTGCCCAGACATGGCCCCAGAACATCCCGACGAGGTGTTACAGGCCGTGGCTGGATGGTTATGACAGAGCTGACTGAAGTTAAACCCATTTAAGACGGAGGTCCTGTACCTGAGTTGCGGGGGGCTGAGTCAGGGGATCAGGCTCCCAACCTTCGATGGGGCTCCACTGGTGCCTATGTCGAGTGTGAAGAGTCTGGGGGTGTTCCTGGATATCTCCTTTTCTATGGAGGTCCAGGTCACCACCACTGCCAGGTCTGCCTTTTTCTATCTGAGGCAGATCAGACAGTTAGCCCTGTACTTTACTACCCGAGACTTAGCTACAGTGACCCATGCAATGGTCACTTCCAGATTAGATTATTGTCTCTACGTGGGGCTGCCCTTGACTCTGCTCTGGAAGTTGCAGCTACTGCAGAATGCAGCAGCAAGGATGCTGACGGCGATGCCTGTGCGGGCTCATATCCACCCAGTTCTGTGAACTGCACTGGCTGCCTATTGAATTCCGGATCTGCTTCAAGGTGCTGGTGCTTACCTTTAAAGCCCTACACGGCCAGGGACCAGCATACCTACGAGACCGCCTCTCCCTATATGAGCCCCGGAGGGCACTGATGTCTACAAACCAACATCTGTTAGTGGTTCCTGGCCGCAGGGACATCTGACTAGCTTTGACCAGGCCCAGGGCTTTGTCAGCCCTGGCCCCTGCCTGGTGGAATGAGCTCCCATGTGAGATCAGGGCCCTGCGGGACCTACTACAGTTCCGCAGGGCCTGCAAGACAGAGCTCTTCCGCCGGGCACTTGGTTGAGGCAGCGGACGTGTGCCCCCCCCCCCAAGCTTCTCTGGCCTTAGTTCTTCTGGCCCAACTTTTCTGGTCAATTGTCCATCAGTGGCCTGAGTCAGATTGATCATCTAATCGTTATATGGTTACATGGCATTTTATTATATTTATATGTGAATTGTTATTTTAATATTATTTTAAGTGTATTATTTAATTGCTGTACACCGCCCTGAGCCCACTTGGGGAGGGTGGTATATAAATCTAATAAAATAAATAAATAAAATTAAACATAAAGCAAAAGTATCCAGTAAATGCTCTAATTCACTTTTTTCATACCTGGGGTGGGAATTCTATACCTGGAGCATCAAAGCATTTAATGCTAAGGTAATTCCCCAAATATTATATGGTATTGGGGTTTTGATTGATGCAGTAGATGAATCAATTTACCAACCTTTAAGGCAGTTTCTCTGTGGTATATCAGGCATGCCAAACTGTGTTCCTGGGGTAGCCCTTAGAGTGGAATTAAATCAGAAATCTCTGGAAGCTTTAGCATAGCAAAGATCATTTTTGTTATATTTTAAGATGCTCATGTCTAACGAGAGGCTACTGACCTCTTGGGAAAAGGTCATTGAAAACAAGCTTCAGATGTTGGGCTTTAACCCAAACAAAGCATATGAGATAAAGAAATCGAGTTAGCGGTGATATCCCTGGATTTTAGAAGTATGCAGGAGAGAGCACAACAAATGTGCTCAGTAGCTGCTCATAGCCTAATCCCCTTTATTTCACAATATGTTTTTTTTACTTAATGGTGCCCCAGTACAGAAGGGCATTTATGCTGGATAGGCTAAATGCCTTTCTGTCAATGGTTACTGAGGGCCGTTATGCAGGTATTTCTTATTGTGATAGAAGATGTGAGTGTGGGGATGGTCATTCTGAGACTCTGGAATACATTTTGCTGTTCTGTTGTTTTGGGGAGGATCTGAGGAAGAAATATTTAGGGCAGTTTATATCTTATACATTTTATCTTTCTTCACAGAGTCTAATTCAGATGATACTATTCGATACAGTTAATAGGATCGTGTTATTAGTAGCAAAATTGTTGTTGGCTGTAATTAATTGTAAAAGGGGATAATATAGGGTTGTTTCAGTGTGATATTGCTTATAGCCCGTTGGCTGCTAGAGCAAGAGCATTTTAAGTAAGCAAGCAGAGGCTTTCTTACTTACTTTCTTTTAGGTCCCAAACCAACACAATGGGAAACCCTGATCTACAAGACAGAACCAGGGTGGGGGGGTTTAAATTGGGAGGTTGTATCATGAGTAGGGCTAAGAAAAGTGGTTATTGCAGTCTTGTCATTACATGGAGAGACAACAAACTTTGCAGAATGACAGGTACTTCCTAGACTCTAGCAGTGATGTGCATTTGTTTATTAACAAATGAAAACACAAGGAAACAAAAGGAGTGGGTTTTTATAGTAATAATAAAAACAAATTGAAAACATTAATTAATTATTCTGGGGTTTTGCTGTCTGGTTGAAAGCGCTCAGGCAGACTTTGGGTTTGGAAGGAGACAGAAGAGAATAAAACGATGGGGACCATTTCCAATTAGCAGAGCAAAAGGCAGCTTGTGACAGAAGAGACACTGAAAGCAAAAATTTTAATTGCCTATTAAACCCCAATCTTTTCTCCAGTCTGCCAGAAATTTAGCATGTAGGATATCTTGAGGGAACAGTACAGTTCCTTAAAGATTCCATCCAAACTGGAGACCTGTTTTCCACTGAAACCAGCAAGAATTACCATTTACCCAAAAGGAAGACTAGTATCCCCCCCCCCAGGTGTGCAGTCAAGAAAAAGAGGGCATCATCTTAAACTCACATGCAAGGTACAAGTATGTAAAGCAATAAAACTTTACAAAAATAACAACACTGCAAGGGGGTTGGTTGTCTTCCATTCATGGAAATACAGGTAAAAACTAATGAAACAAAAGGGAATTGAACAAAACTGAACAATTGAACAAAAGGGAAAAATATACCACACTAGAGTCCAAGGGGACCTCCTTCTCTGTAGATGCTTACTTCTGCTTTTTTAGTTGACTCGTGTCAGGATTGATGTCTGCAAATTTCTTAGTAAGTTTCCAGATAGTAACCACGAAGACAATGGCATTGATCTGTTTAGAAGAGAGAGAAAGGGGATGTTAGCAAGGTGCCAAGATAAGACTCGGACTTAGGGCTGTTTCATGCATCACATTTTTTAAACTTTCCTAATATGTATATATGGTCTGCATTTTTCCCCCCTACATGTGTATACACCAGTAGGAAAAAGTCATGTGTGAAACAGCCCTTAGAGAACAAAGATTAATATCTGGGCTATTTGGATGGTTAAAACCCTTAGCTGCTTTGGTGAGCTCATTTGCCAAAAAAGCAACATATAGCCAGACAAAATGTTCCCAGCCCATTTGGAAAAGCTTTTGCACTGAACTGTGACCAGACTGATGGACTGTGCCTTAGAAGACAGTGGGAACCAGAATCAGGGCAGTTTTACTTGGGTGAACTAAGCCCCAGATCCATACAGGTCCAGTGCTTCTCCATTACTTGGAGAAAGTTCCTCTAGAACCACAGTGTGGGAGGTATTTGTGTGGCATCAGGCAAGACACAGAAGGAAAAGCGTAAAACAGGAAGTATCAGGCAAAGTGCAAGAAGACAGCTAGGGAATTGATAAAGGGCCTCATAAACAGCTAACTGAGACCAATGCACCCAAAGATGAATAAGCCACTTGTGAGCAATTCCCCCTCTAAGCTGTGGAGTCTTGTGAGCAAAAATTCTACTTTGTGAGCTACTGGCATTAAAGTTGTGAGCGAGCAGTTTGGCTACTGCCTAAATTAGCTTGCTCTGGAGCCATCCTTCCTGAGCGAAGACAAAAAATGTGTGAGTTGGAGGCTAAAAACTGTGAGCTAGCTCACACTAACTCAGCTTAGAGGGAACACTGCTTGTGAGTGTATGCTGAAGATGACATAAAGTTTGGATTGTACAGAAGCTTAAGTAATGAAAACAGAGGACGCGCTGTGATGGAAGGAAGGGTGGCAATCCAGGTAGGAGGGATGGATCATTGAGGATTCACTGGGCTTTACCAGGATGATGAGGCAGACAGGTGCCAAGAAGCTCCACAGAAACCCACGTTCCATTGAGAGCCAGCAGCTGTGATGGGTGGGGAGGGGGGGGAGAAAGCAGAAAATGAATCTTTTTGCATGCATCAGTATTCATAGCAGTCATCCACCCCCTGGGAAATCTTATTTGTTTAAAAATATATATCCCATGCTGTCTTCCATAAAATAACCTTTTGCCATCCTTTCTATGTGAGCCCCTCAGCAGAAACCTCTCTGCCAATGGGGCAGGAATTGTAGCTACACATATAGCAGCTGTGTCACCAACTACTTAGTGCTCGAGGATGGAAACTGCATGATCTTTTGCTTGCCTGTTGAGCCCTCTTATTCCAAGAGCAAATCCAGCCTTTGGCCTCTTCTCTCAACAGCACCATCCCACCCTTTAAACGACACACCTGCTACACAAGTGCAGATGCTTCCGGTTCTGGTGGCCAAACTTCTGAAGTGCCCAAGTTTTCTGTAACCCATGTGGGTGTATGCTGTAACCCCAGGACTCACTTATTCTTGGTGCCATAGCCTCGATGGTCGATGGCCGCTGCAATTCCCACCATGATGGCTGGGAGTCCATATCCCACAAGTATATGGTGCCAGTGCTTGAGACTGTGGGTTCTGAAGACCTGAACTACCATCAAGTAGAGCTCCACACCTTCTAGCAACATCCAGCAGAAAGCGGACAGGAAAAAGTAGTGCAGCAGCCCAGCCACTATAGCACACGCTGTCTGGAAGAGGAGACAGGACCAAAGGGAGACTGTGAAGAGACTGCTCAGTGAAGACTTTTGCACAAAGGTCTAAGTATGCAGTGGCCAAACCCTTACAGGAGGAGGAGGATTGGATTTATACCCCGCCCTTCACTTGGGGTCTCAGAGCGGCTTACAATCTCCTTCCCTTCCTCTCCCAACAACAGACACCCTGTAAGGTAGATGGGGCTGAGAGAGTTCTGAGAAAACTGAGACTGACCCAATCTGGTTCTCCAGATTAGAGTCCGCCTCTCTTAAGCGCTACATCAAACTGGCTTCTTCAAACAAACAGGGCCACAGCCTAGAAACTGAAATGTCCATAGTGGAGATCAGCTATCTAACCACAGTACCAAGTAACCTGTCACCCTCCCCCTCGAGTGAAACACGGACCTCCATGTACCTCTGCAAAGCAATCTGACTTCCTAGCAAAAGCTGCAGATTCTGATGGCAGTGGAAAGTGCTGCCAAGTCACAGCCGACATCTGGCAACTCTTCTCTTTGGCCTCTTCTCTTTCAAGAAAAGAGACATTCAGAGGTGGCTTGCCACTGCCTGCCTCCCCATCATGACCCTGATATTCCTTTGTGGTCTCCCTTCCAAATACTAGCCAGGGCTGACATCCACATGCTGTGCAAAATAAATTGCTTTGCTTCTGTCTCAGCCAGGAGATCTCTGCACTATGGAAGATACAAAAGATCTATTTCATTAAAGTTGGTGTACTGGAGGCAGTCACACTTCCTAGCCCAGTGCCACCTTCAGCCATTATGCTGCACTTCTGGTCATGTGCAATCCATTGCAGGTTTCAGTTCTTACCTGTTCAACTACATATTGCCCCTCCTTGAAGGAGCAGGCACAAGTCCTTGCTGAGGTGTCATCTGGGACTATATGGAAGGGACACTTGTCAATCAATGTAAAAACCCCATGCTCCCAAGGAGTAACTGGGAGCCTCCCACATTGAAAAATACCCTAGAAGGGCCCTGGGCTCCCTTTTTTCCTCCCTCCCAGCTACTTCCCTTGGAATGCCTCTTATGGATAGTTTTACAGATTGCCTGGCCTGGTCAGTTACCTTATTGGCAGTGTTCCCAGCACCCACCAGGAAGATGGCATAGGCAGCAAAGAGTGCCAAGCAAAGGTGGAGGTGGATGGTGGTGCGGGTGCCTCGGATGGAGCGACAAAACAGGAAGGTGAGGATGGAGAGGAACAAGAAGATCAGAGAGACAACCAGCCCGATCCTGGTGATGACAACCAGTCTGTGGTCCTGCTCGGGAGGGAAATCGTTAAGGTAGTGCAATACAAGTCAGCAGAAAGGGGGCCATAACCAGCGATTTGGCAAATCTGCCCACAACAGAAACCCCTCCTGGTGCACTCAAATAAATAAGTGTTGGAGAAGAGAACTTCCTGTTTGCACCATGCTGTGATACAGGACAGCATGGATAGCTGATTACTCTTCTGGGAAGTGTTGCAAGGAAGAAAGTTTAGAAGTGGAAGTAAAGCTTTTGAAAGGTAACCTAGTAGTGATATGTAATCTGAAGATGGAGAGGTCCTTCTTGGGCAGCCTGCTTTGATCAAACTACAGCCTTGGGCCAGACTGCCCACTAACAAACCCATTAGCAAACTCACTCCTAGCAGCCTCTGTACCAGGAAGGTACCATTCAAAAGCAGCTGATCTCTAGACTTCTGCAGGCCTTTGGGCGCCAGAGTGCCTTTGGAACCCCTTTCCTCACCCATCTGACATTTGAGATGGAAACCCACTTACTCCTCATCACTCTTGAAGCCTGGGGGCTTGGCTACATCCACATGCTTTGCTAGGCAGTGAAGTGAGTAAAGCCACAGGCAGGTGCAGAACGGCCTCATGCCCCCCTCTGCCCCTAGCTGCTGCCTCTGCCCCCTTCTTTCTTACTGTTGTGCTGCTCTGAGGCTCCTGCCTCTCAGCTGCACTCATCTGCTGGGACCTGGGCAACTGCGTGGGCTGGATGCCAAAGCAGAAGGCAGTGGCAGGTGACTGCTGCAGAAACAGGGCTGCCCGAGGCAAGCAGCCTGTACTGTGCACACTCATAAATGCCACACCACTTCCCTTTTACTCCTTCTTGGCTATGATCGGGTGTGCATGTCACAGCTACACACAGATGGTGGCAGTGTCTCTGGCTGGGGAGGGCCCGTTACAGGTCCCTGGGTCCCATGGCTAGTTGTTGACACAGGGACTGTTAAAAAGTTGGCTCCGAATTGTATGTGCAACTGTTAGGAAGTTACACCGAGAGTACAAAGAAGAAAATTCACACATGTCCCCACACAGTGAGCTCCTTTTCAGCTGTTCCCCTGCTTTGGTGGAAACACAAGTGACTCATGCATCCTTTTTTCATACTTTTTTTTTTAAAAAAGGGATGCATCTCCTTTGCAAGAGGAGCCCTGGTCACCAGATGTGTGTCAACTGTATGAATCTCACTATGGTGGGAGATGTGCAAGTTTCCTCTTTAGATGTTACACTGGGGGCACAAACCGCAGATGTTAGATTCATCATCATCGTATAACCTTCATCTGAAACTCTTCCCCGTCTCCTCCTCTCTCTCTCACTCATTTCAAGCCCTGGACTCACTAGCAATCCACTGAGCAGACTGGAATCTTTTTTTAGCATTAAGGAGCCTTCCTATCTAAAGGACTCTTTCTCCAACATTTATTTATTTATTCTATTTATACCTCACCCTCCCTGCTGAGGCAGGCTCAGGGCAGCTTACATAAAATGAACATATAAATACAATTAAAGTCCATCATAAAAACAACCAAAAACCATAAACAAATCAATTATCCTAAAGTGCTGGAACAATATTCAGATAAAGTGCGAGAGCAGAAATTTCAAGATTGAGCAATACTCTATAGGTGACAATCATGATGGTATTCCTGCACCAGCTCCATTGATCTACTTATTTATGCAGCGAGGGTGGCTAAAGGTGGTAAGGCCAGGGCACAGTGTCACTTCTCAGATGTTTTATGTGGCTTCTAAGCAAAGGCCTGGTGGAAGAGCTCTGTCTTGCAGGCCCTGCAGAACTGTAAAAGGTTCCACAGGGCCCTGATCTCTTCCGGGAGCTCATTCCATCAGTTCAGAGCCACCACGGAGAAGGCCCTGGCTATTGCCAACGTGGCATCTTTGGGACCTGGAAGGGCCAACCAGTTTTGGGCCCCTGAACGCAGTGCTCTGGGGAACATATGGGGAAAGGCAGTCCCTTAGGTATGCCAGATCCCAACCATAAAGGGCTTTAAAGGTCAAAACCAGCATCTGGTATGCTATTGGCAGCCAGTGCAGTGCTTTCAACACAGGCGGGATGTATTCCTATAGAGAAAGACCCATCAACAGCCCGGCTGCAGCATTTTGCACTAGCTGCAGCTTCCGGATTTGAGACAAGGGCAGCCCCGTGTAGAGAGCATTACAGTAGTCTAACCTCGAGGTGACCATCGCATAGATCACTGTTGCCAAGTCGTTGCATTCGAGGAAGGGAACCAACTGCCTGATCAGCCAAAGATGATAAAAGGCTGACTTGGCAATGGCTGCTACCTGGGCCTCTACTGATAAAGAGGCATCCAAGAGCACTCCCAAACTCCTAACCTCCGGCACTGGCACCAACTGCGCCCCATCAAAGGTTGGGAGTGGGATCCCTACCCTCGGTCCACCCCGGCTCAGGCACAGGACCTCCGTCTTTGTCGGATTCAGTTTCACTCAACTCAGTCTAAGCCAACCAGACACAGCTTGTAATGCCCAGTCTAGATCTTCTGGGGTAGAGTCAGACGGCCGCCCAACAGCAGATAGAGCTGGGTGTCATCTGCATATTGGTGACACCCCAGCCCATGCCTCCGGGCAATCTGGGCAAGGGGGTGCATATAGATGTTAAACAGCATTGGGGAAAGTACCGCCCCTTGAGGTACTCCACAGATCCGTGGGTGCCTATGGGACAGCTGTTCCCTTAATGCCACCCTTTGTCCCCAACCCTGAAGGAAGGACGCGAGCCATTGCAAAGCAAGCGCCTGAACTCCAGAGTCAGCGAGGCGGTGATTAGTAGCTGATGGTCGACCATGTTGAACGCTGCTGACAGGTCTAACAACAACAGCACTGCTGACCCGCCTCGATCCAGATGCCTCCGGAGGTCATCAGTGAGGCCGACCAGTGCAGTCTCCATCCCATGTCCTGGGTGAAAACTAGACTGGGAGGGGTCTAAAATGGAAGTGTCATCCAAAGAGCTCTGTAGCTGGACTGCAACAGCCCTCTCGATTAACTTGCCCAAAGAGGGCAAGTTGGAAACCGGCCAGTAGTTGGCCAATTTGGCTGGATCCAAAGATTTTTTTTTCAAGACGGAACGAACTACTGCCTCCCAGGGAACAGCCCCTCCAAGAGGGACCTGTTAATAATCTCCCCTAGGGCACCCTGAAACTCATCACGACCAGCTTTCACTAGCCACAATGGGCACGGATCAAGGAGACATGTGGTGGGGCGTACAGCCAGGAGCAATTTGTCAACTTCCTCTAGGCTGAGTGGACTGAAGTGATCCATAACCTGACTGGAAGACATGAGGAGCCTCGAGTTCACTCACTGTCTCAACTGTGGCAGGGAGGTCACGACGGAACGACAAGACTTTGTCCGCGAAATAGCTCGCAAATGCCTCACAGCCAATATCCAATTCCCTAGCGTTTGACCTGCTTTGTAGCAATGTCAATTGCCATCTCACAGGATCTCAAAAATGTCCTACAGGATGTTCTTGTAGCTTCATCATGGGTGTGCTGCCACTGTCTCTCTAGCTGTCTGAGCCCTTGCTTCATCAGTCACAACTCCTGGGTGTACCAAGGTGCAAGCTTGGAGCAAGGGTGCAGAGGGCGTTCGGGAGCGATCTCGTTAATGGTTGCAGAGAGTTGGCTATGCCAATCCTCTACAAGCTCATCTAATGAACTGCTGGGGGGCATTGGATCCCATAGAGCCATCTGAAGCCGTATTGGGTCCATGTGGCTTCGCAGGTGAGTTAAAATACGCTCGCCACCCAAACAGGGTCGGGGTGAAACATTCAGACGGGCCCTCAGGGCAAGGTGGTCCAACCATGGCACTGCTAAGGCAGTGATCTGGTCCACTGTAACCCCCGTCATGAAGATCAAGTCAACTGTGTGCCCAGCCCGGTGAGTGGGAGTCGTTATATATTGGGAGAGTCCCAGCGCCACCATGGACGACACTAGGTCTGCTGCCTGAGTGGAGGCCGCATCATCAGCATGGACATTGAAGCCACTCAAGACTATCAGTCTAGGGTGTTCCAATGCCCAGCCTGACACAGCCTCCATCAGGGACTGTGGGCTATTGGCTGGTGCGTTGGGCAGTCAGTACACCAGCCAAATTGCCAAACTCTCCCTGGCTTCCCAAACTAGGCCAGCACACCCTATGCCTGCGATCTTTGGTGGCGGGAGCACCCTGAAGGAGTAAGCCTCCCGAATGAATACAGCCACTCCCCCCCTCCTGGTCCGCGACTGAGAACCCGGGAGGCAACAGCTGGGAGAGAGCTACTGTCTCCCCCTCTCGCACATTAGAGATACTTATGCTGGAGGAAGGCTCTCTTTAGGCTGGAAGAAGAGTCCTCCGGGCTTCCTCCAGCCTGGCTCCTTTTTACAGACCTTTTCCTCCATGTCAGTACACAAGAAAAAAACTGCTAATAGCAAAGGAAGCATGCTTTTTTATTCTGTAGTCTGCCTTGAGTCTCATCAAGGAAGGAGGGCTATAAATAAATTTAAAAAGAAGCATCAAGTCTTCTGCTCATATGGACTTGTCTTATACCAAGTCAGACCACTGGTCTATCAAGGTCTGTATTACCTACTCTGACCAGCAGTATTTCTACAGGGTCTCAGGCAGAGATCTGTCACATCACCTACATACCTGGATCCTTTTTAACTACAGATGCTGTTGAAGTCAGACTGGGATCTTCCGCCTGCAAAGCAGAGGCTCTCCCTCTGAGCCATGCCCCTCTCCCTTATTGTCTGTTTTGGACTCACCTCCACTTCATAGAAGGCCATAAGCACAGCAAAGCTGGTCAAGTGGTCGCACTGGCAGCGGGTGCTGTTGCCACTGGATTCCAGAAGTTGGCAGCCTTTGGTAGACCAGCCCCCACTGATGGGCTCCCAGAAGGCACAAATCAGTCTCTGTTCAAGCTTTTTGCCCAAGGAGAAACTGGGAGGATGTACCTTAGAAGTAAGGGGAGTAAGAGTCATGCTCAGTGACTTGAGAGCACAAAACTTTCCCACCATGTCAGCTTTATATTATGTGAGCAGAGCAGAGTCTCCTCCAATTTTAGTTTACTGTTTTTATCTAGCAACACTTCATAACTTTCTCTATCATATTTGTTGATAAGGGAAGGTTTTATAAGGATTTTGGTGGAATGGGCCCGCGTCAGCTGGCAGGCCCCGCTCTGCCCACCCCTCCTTTGCCTGACCTGGCACCTGAAGGGGCAGTTTTTCACCACTGCCTCCGGGTACTGCTGCCACCACTGTCCCTGTCTTGGGTTCTGGTTAGGCGGGACAGCCTCCTAACCTCCCTCTGATGTCACTAGAAACCCACCTCAGGGCTTCCTGGCAATCTTCGGGGCTCCCCTGGAGAGTTGGCAACTGGCCATTTTGTTCTTCTCCTCAGAGAGTCCCCAACCCACTCCTAGCGTGTCCAAGTGGCTGGGGGAACTATGCGATACAGAGGGACTTCTCAATGTCAACATTAAAAGGATTTATTTTGAAACCACTCAACTATATACAGGCTTATTAACAGTGAACTGAAGAATCAAAATAAAAGTGACAAAATCGCTCCGTCTCTCCCTTCACTACACATACCCTGTCTAGATGGTCTGCAGGGCAGCCACATGACTTGCTTTCACTTGAAGGAAGTTAGATTAGCACAACTCCCAACATGGCCTCTGCCTCCTCCAGCCGACAGCCTGACTGACTCCAGACTTCTGACAGACCGACCTCAATTCTCATAGACTGGCCTCCCGCCCCAAAGCTCCACTATCTCCAACAGCCCTTCCCGCCCAGGAAGTGGCTCTCCCTCCTGCAGCATTCTGGGGCAGATCTCCTCACAGCCTTGATGGACTTCCTGTCCTCTCTAGGGAGCTGCCCTCAGACTACTGGTTGGAGACAGGAGGGGGAGGGAATGAGGAAGAGACTAGGCCAAGGCCTACCTCAGGTTTGATGGTCCCCTCCTATCTGGCCCACACCAACTTAAACATATACATAAAATGGCGTTTCTCCACAAGGATCTGTATGTGAAGGCAGTGTGTCAGGGAGGATAGACAGCTTGGGATTTATTGCACCCATTGTGGAGAGATAAGATGTACAGCCCGAGACTTGGGAGTGGGCCAACCAGAAGTGGGCCAAGGAGGATATTCTTTCTCTTCTGGCATGTCCAATTCCCTATGTAAAAGGGAAATGGCAGTTATTGTACAAAGCCAGCCAAGGAAGCATGATAAGCTATTGTGCACTGGCAGGAAGGATAAAGAGGAAGGGTACAATGAACTACTCACAGCTTCCAGGTGGTTGAATGTAAAATTCACAGGGATATTCAAGGACACGGTGTTTTTGTGGCCTACAAAGGCAGCTGCTACCTTGGACAGTATTACTTGAGTGATGGGCTGGTCTGCCTCCCCTTCACTCCCATCAATAGGAGCTCCAGTCAGAAGAGGCCCAAGGTCTTGGTAGGAGAGCAGGCCTATCAGACTGACGGCTGAAAGGACAGAGGTGGCAGTTTAGATAGAGTGCATTGGCTCCCAGAGAACTGGGGGCTCAACAGCTGCTGGCTGGGATGCCACAATAAGAAGCTCCTTCTAGTGTCCCTTGAGAGCATGTCCTTCTTGACCAGACCAAGGGTCCACCTAGTCCACTATTTTGTTACCAACAGTGGTAGCCAGATCCCTCAAGGAAGCCCATATGAGATGGAGTGACCAAAACTGTCCACAGTGTTCCACATATGACTGCACCACAGATTTATCCTGGGGCACTACAGTATTTGTAGCTATATTCTGAATGCCTTTCCTAACAGTCCTGTCATGACCCCAGGGGGTCGCCACCTTCCACCGCCACCACCCTGGATTTCGGGTTCCTTGAGAAGGCCCAGGGTACCCTCCCAAGCCCATCCAAAAATGCCCCCTTTTTAATCCGAGAACATCAGTGTGATGACCAGGCAGGTAACAATAACAAAATGGTTTATTAACACAGTACCGGGGCAAGGAAAACAAGACAAGGTGCTTTAAAAGATCTAACAGTGTTTAAAAGGCAAAATAAACACAAACCTAACACGACTACCTAGTTCGCTTAACTGGTTACTCCTTCAAGGCCCACAGCCTGCCAGGCTACATTACCTGTTCTCACTCTGTCCCCAGTGAGGGATCTTTTTCTCTCACCAGACCAGCCTGTCCCCTCTGTGAGACCAGACCGCAGCTGAGAGACGAAAGAACACCGTTTTTCACAGTTAACAGCTTAAGTCAGAATCTCCTCACAGACTCTCTGGAAACTGATTGGCTATAACCCTCTCTAAGCATTATGGGGATTGTAGGCTGTCTGCTTTCCGCTCCCACACTGGTCTCTCCTGGGACCAGACCGCACGAGGCCTTGCTCCCAGTCCTGCACAGATCATGACAAGTCCCTACAATGGAATTTGCCTTTTTCACAGCAGCAGCAGCAGACAGAACATTTTCATTAAACTATCCATCACACTCCCACAATCTTTTTCCTAATCAGTCGTTGCTAGCTCAGACCTCCATCAGTGCCTGGCACTGCAGCTGTGCCACAAGGTGACTTACTCCTATTCACTATATAAGTTCCTCATCTTTTTGTAGTCACAGAAGGAACTGTGCTGTGGCTACAGCTCTAGGGAGTACCAATATGGCCATAGCCACAGGACCATGCCTTTTGTCACTACAAAAAGCTGGGGAAATTACACAGAAAAGAGGCACTGCTGTCCTTGTGGCACAGGGAAGCTATTTACCTTTGTCTTCTCTGTTTGCAACATCCCAGCTTAGCTCCATTTGCGTCCCATTCTGAGATAGCAATGCTGAGCGCTGACTGTGGTTTCCGGCTGTCCTGATCTCCATGTCCAATTCTGGAATGACAAGAATTGCATCAAGGTATAGAATTGCATCTAGCAGTAAAGGGCAAGGGTAGCTATCACTGAACAAAACAACACTTTCTTCCAAATATCCCAGTTGCTCCACCAACAGAGTCTAGAGCCTGTATGAAGCAGAGTGAAAGGAAAGAGGATATTCCCCATACTTTTGTTGCCACACACACCTGGAAGTTCTACAGAGGACAGGAGGGTAAGAGGGAAATCCCAGCCTCTGTAGTTACGGAAGACTGAGATTAGCCAAAACCTTCTGCACACTAACCTGTGCCTTTGCTGGTCTCAATGCTTATGGGCTCATTGGCCAGGGTGACCGCAATATTTCTGAGCCAAGACTCTACCTCTCTCATCAGTTCAGTGGCTCTGTGGTGTTTTTCCTCCTTGCTTTCATTATTCGATGCAAGTGAGCTCACTCGATCATCCAGCAGATTCAGCATATCCTAAAATTGAAGACAATTTACATCACTAGCTCTTAAGGGCAAGGCTGGCACCAACATGTTCAGGCATTCACATGTGCGCACACACACAGGGAGCAAGGCAGTCAACATGATAAACATCAATACCTTTGTCTCTTCTCCCCCCTTCAGTTTCCCCTCCTTTCCTACTCCTGGCAGCCTCTCCCTGGGAAACCTCTGGCTGAGTTGCTTAGCGACAGCTGCTGGGCCATGCCCAGTTCCACATAGTTGCCAGCCCTCAGGTCTGGGTGGGGTTTCCCCCACTTTTGGGGGGGGCTCCAATCTACCACCACCCAGCTGGCCCATGGGGGAAGCCCCACCTTCTAGCCCCTCCCCCAAGAGCAATCTCCCTTCTCTGTCCCCCTCCTGCAAGATTTAAAGGGCTTCAGCTGATCGACGGGGAGCATGTGGCCTGCCGAGCAGCTGGAGGGGCCCTTAAATCTTTCAGGGGGGAGGGAGAGGGCCTGTCACTGGCTGAACGCTCTGCTCGGTCTTTTTGCAAGTGGGGTGGAGCCACAGTGCGTGGGGCTGATTTCCCAGCAGTGATTTGCATGCCTGAATCCCAAGTGGCTGTCACAGGCTAAGAGGCAGAAGTCAAGTTCAGTCCGAGGTCGTTGCCAGGAGAGTCAAAGCGAGAGCCAAATCATGAGTCTGAAGCAAGGGTCAGGAAGCCAGGAATCCGAGCCAGAGTGGAGGTTCAAAGACAGGAACCGAAGGTGGATGTGAGGCATGCATGGAGGTAACTCATTGCTTCCACGAGAGCCCAATCTTGAGTGGGAGTTATATAGGCCTCTGGCTGGGCTTCCCGTGGTGGCGGTGGTGCTCCTGCTAATACTCAGGACTCAGCGCTCGCCTTCCCTGCCAGCGTGCATCTCGAGGGCGGGTGGCTAAGTCTCTGCAGAGCCACTCCCTTAGCTGAACCATCCACGGAGGTGAGTCAGGCGGGCTCCCCGATTGCACCTGTGCTGCCTCGGCTGCTGCAGGACCAGGTACAGGGTTTACAGGCTCAGACGCTGGCAAGTTGTCAACTTGTGAGGAGTCAGAGGGGGGCCGGCTTCTGTTTCTGGCAATGCTGGCGCCTCTGGCTGTGATTCCAACTTGGGCAGGGACTCAGTGCCATCGTCGCCGCTCATGACACTGGCAAATCACTGCTGGGAAATCAGCCCCACCCCACTCACAAAAAGACCCTTTAAAGGGCTCTCCAGCTGATTTAAAGGGCCCTCTGGCTGATGGTCACTGTTGGGGGTGGCGCTTGGGGGGATCCCCGCCTGCCCCTGGAATGCCCCCAAATCCCCCCACTGGAGTGATGCGGGGACCTGGCCACCCTAGGACGTGCTCGCAACCCTAGGACTTGTGAGGGGCATCTCAGTTTCTTAATCCTTTTCCCCACACTATTTCCTTTTCCCCTCCTCCCAGCAGCCTCTATATTCTCACCTTTCTCTGCTTCCTTTTCTCTTTCTCCTTCTTCCCCGCTTGCGGGGAGGGCAGGGTATAAATAAATAAATAAAATTCTTCCTTTTCTCCTTCTGCAGCCTAACAGTTTCATCATTCTTTTCACAGCAACCCTGTGAGGTAGGTTAGGCTGAAAGTGTGTGACTGGCCCAAGATCACCCAGCAAGATTCCACAGCAGAATGGGGATTCCAACCTAGGTCTCCCAGATTCTAGTCTGAAACTCTAACCACTACATCACACTGGCTTTCATGTGGTGGCTGCTGCTGACCAGTAGCAAGCAGCTAGGCCTGGGTGAGTCTTAGAACTCATGTGGTATCAAGTCATCCATGGATAAGGTTGCCATTCCCCAGGGCTGGTGGGGGAAACCCTGCCCACAAACAGCAACGTCCTCGCATGACATCCTCACATCAGGGACGTCACACAGCGATGCTCTGGTTTTGGGGCAAAACTCTATGGTTTGACCCCAATTTTACCATAGAGTTTCACCCAAAAACAAGAGTGTCACCCTGATATGTTAGATCGCTGTACAGGGGAAAGAAAATAACTAATTGCACTGTAAACAAAGCAATAAATAGAACAACTGCCAAGGATAAGATGCACTTTGCTTAAACAGGTTTGTTCCTAAATAAACATACAGTAGGATCTTGCCCATGCTGCATTAATTAATGGGGAATACAGAGCTACATTAAGTGCAATTCACTTGTACCTGAATGTGCAAACAGAATAACTGAACAGCACAAAAGTGTCCCGCAGTGCAATCCTAGCTCTTTGGGGAACTTGGACAGGAAACCTAAGTCTCGATTCAGTCCAAGAGGATGCATTGTCTTGAGTTTTGTTATCAGTTGCAGTTTGGCAGTCTCTCTTTCTAATCTCCCTTTGAACTTCCTTTTTAAGAGAACGGCTACTCTTAGGTCAGCAGCTGAATGTCCTGGAAGGTTAAATTGTTCCCCCACTGGTTTTTGAATGTTGTGGTTTCTAATGTCAGACTTCTGTTCATTTATTCTTTGTTTGTAGGTACTGGCCTATTTGTCCAGTGTAGAGGGTGGAAGGGCATTGCTGACACGTGATGGCATAAATTACATTAGAGGATGAGCAGGAATATGAACCTGAGATGGTATGGCTGATGTTGCTGGGTCCAGTGATGGTGTTGCTAGGATCTATATGAGAGCAAAGTTGCCGTCTTGGTTTATTGCAGGGCTTGGTACTGGAGTCCATGTTACTGTTAAGTTGTTTGTCATTGCGTGAAAAGTTGTTTTACGTTAGCAGGCTGTCTGTAAGCAAGAGAAGGGCTGACCCCTCTGCATATCACACCGGCTATTGTCATTCACCATCAGAAATCACTCCACTCTCCATGATACAAGGACAGATGGACTCACATTCTAGCTGTATCTGAGGAAGTGAGTAGTGACTCACGAAAGCTCACACCCTACCACATATTTTATTAGAGCTGCAGTGGCTCAAGTGGTTAAGACACTGAACTGCAGGCTGTGGAAGGTCGGTAGTTCAGCAGTTCGAGACCCGAGTGTGCCACATGACGGAGTGAGCTCCCGTCTCTAGTTCCAGCTCCTGCTAACCTAGCAGTTCGAAAGCAAGAAATTGCAAGTAGATAAATAGGTACCACTTCCGTGGGAAGGTAACAGCGTTCCGTGCGCCTTGGTGTTTAGTCATGCTGGCCACATGACCACAGAAACGTCTTTGGACAGTGCTGGCTCTTCGGCTTTGAAACGGAGATGAGCACCGCAACCCTAGAATCGGATTCGATTGGCTTTCGAGCAAGGGAACCTTTACCTTTACCTTTAAGGTGCTACTGGACTCTTGCTCTTTTCTACTGCTATAGACAGACTAACACGGCTACCCATCTTGAGCTATCTCCAGTAGCAGCTTTGTTATATATTTTTTTAAAAAAATTAGAGCACACTGGGCACTCTACTGTTTTTATTCTGTCATAGATTCCACACACACACACACACCCAAGTATCCAACTGGGACTTTCCTCTCTTCTTTCAGGTGCTCCTCGGCCAACATAAATGAATACAGCCGCCTTGCTTAATTCAGCTCTGAAATGGAGCTATTGTTGTCAGCCCTGTGCAAGTATTTGAGAGATTACACAGAGGAGGGGGGATGGAGGGTTCTGTATGGAAGTACACAAGTTCTCTCAAAGTTAATACATGAACTATGAATACATAATATGTGAATATCACTTGTTTCAAGCACGTATGTGCACGGATGGGGAGAATTTGCTGGGCATCACTGCCTACTAGCCTATTTTAATAACCGGTATATCTGATCCTTGAAATAATACTGGAAAGGGGAGGTGGCAGAGAAGAAGGAAATTCAAAACATACCTTCAGGAGTTTCTCTTTATCCGTATGGTTCTGTGAACTCAGTGATGAATTGCAGATGCTATCCAACTGTGCTGTAAAGTTGCAGATGAATGTCTGCAAAACAATCCCTCCCAAACTCCAGTGGATGGAGATGGAGGGAACTAGGATGAGAAGAGGAGTCTAGACCACTGTGCCCGTTTAAGGCAAAGCATGAAGGATTAGGGCTATGGGTTATGCTGCTGAATTACAAGTCAAACAGAACAAGAAAGAGGTCATGGGAACCATCAAGAATGGAATTTGGGGGGGAAATAATAAATGGTTGGAATTTACTATATTTATGTACATACAAGATGTATTTAGAGGACAAGCCCACAGCAGGTATTTTGTTCTGATGCCTTGAATAGTGAAATTCAAAAAAGATTCAGTTTCTTTTAACAATAATAAAAACATTCCCATTTGCATTAAATGAAGGTTCTGAAACCTGTTTTTGGGAGGCATACTTTGTAGATACTTTGATTCTGTTACTTCAAAAATGCAGGGATTAACAGAAACACCAGATAAAACAAAAGCATGTAGATGACTGGGAGTGTATGATACATAAGTAGGGAGAAAACTGTCTGTCAGAGGAAATGTCAGGGATAAAACATTTGAAGGGTAGAGTTTTAAAAGCTATAATCTACTTAACCTCCCCCCAAACTTGATAACCTATTATCTCAAAGGACAAAATAAGTAAAGCTGTGCATTTTCCAAAACTGCATAACACAAATGAAGAAACTGCAGTAGTCACAAAATTTAGCATCCAGAAAAATCTAAGTTTACATTAAAAACCCACCCAACACATTTCTAATCCTTCAGGCAACAATGTAAGGACGTGTTCAAGTATTGGTGCATAATGCTCAGAGGCAATCTTAGGAGACATTGTGAGAGTTAAGCAGAATCTTCATGTTTTAGGAGCTCTTTGCCTTTCCCCATGGATAGTATAAAATTATACCAAATAATCAATTACATGCAAATTTGCAAAATAAGTTTTTTAAATTTAATTTTGTGTTGCCTATGTGAAGAATTTTTGGTTTTAAAAAACCCATCAAACATGTACATGTTACATCCATTACCTAATTCTGTAAAAAAAATCAACTTAGACTACACATGGAGTCAGTTTGGTCCTGCCTTTCAAAATTCTACATTTGGGGCTCACCTGTTCATTTGAGCAGTTACTGTTTGAAGATGCTGAACAGGGGGATCCTGGGGACAGAACAGATAAGGCATTAGAATGTATTGCTATCCATCCCTTTTCCCAGAAGTCCTTCACATTCTGGCTCCCTTTTGAAAGTTAGAGTATATTACAGTAATGTTTGTATTAAGTGGTCCACGATACCTTTAATAGTGACAGTTATTTATAGCGTAACCTGCTGGGTAGTTGAGGGGATGGATATTAAAAGATTGCAAAACTACATTGCACAGCAACATAATGGTACCCCTTCCAAGATATCTCTCAGCCCCACCCACCTCACAGGGTGTCTGTTGTGGGGAGGGGAAGGGAAAGGAGCCGCTCTGAGACTCCAAGTGAAGGGCGGGGTATAAATCCAATCTCTTCTTCTCTCTTCTCTTCTTCTTCTAATGTGTCCATTCTGCACATATGGCTAGATCTCAACCTACTTAGTCACTTCTAGGGATACAGCAAACTGTGTGGCAAACAAGTTTAGCAGGCAAACATACTATTTTCAACAGCTGGGATCACTTGTGAGCTGAACCTTAGATCCCCTTGCCTTCCCACCATCCAACTCCAGCAGCTTCCCAGGTGGTGGAGAGTGTCATTTTCTTCTGGATTCTGGGCACTTTTAAGCCTGCACAATAGGTGAATTTGATTCTTCCCCAGGATCATGGGCAGCTGGGTCAGGCAATTAAATGACTCGGAGTGTTGGGAACTATGACTCCCATTAGGCTGTGCAAAAATGTGCATGAATAAGATAACCTCAACACCACCAACTTAAATGAGCACCAAACAGTAAGACCATTTCCACATGTTGGTTTTCTTAAATCCCTGAATCTTACCAATTTGTCCTCATTAGTTTGGCAATTCCAGGAGTAGCTTCAGATCTAGTGGCCCTTTAATGCATGGTATTCAGTCTAGTTTTCCAGCATTTTTCTCCCATTCAAGTATAGGCCCACGTTTCCTGTGATTTTTTTCCCTTCGGATATAGACTCAGATTTTTCCAGTGTGAAATTCCAAAATTTGAATTTTGTCATTAGCTGCCCTTTTGTGGCATCACCATTGCTTTGAAACTTACCCCACATGGTGAACTGTTTAATTTTTTTAATGTGATCTATTAATTGTATTACAATGCTGATATTTATTTTATTATATTACTGTGTTACTCCCATCATTATTTTTCTTGTTGTTCACAATATTTTTCACGGAAACAAAAAACATGAGACAGGAGTACAAATGGGTAGCTGCTCATAACAGCTGTTCTGGGAATGCTCCCACAACTTGCCCATATGTTAAGCAACTGGATCACATATTGCATGAAGATGCAAGCATGCATCCCAAACGAGTGGCTAGGAACCCGAAAATACGGTTTCTTCCACCTGTGCCCAGGGCACTAGCAGAACCAGCAGCTGGAGGAGAGGAACTATTATCACATGAACTGTTGACCATCAACCCAGAGCACGTTCACTACTCCATACCTGTGGCTTTGGCAAGTAAGCGGATTGGGGTGGGTGGGTTTCCAAGAGTTTACACACATGATTGGTTGGTCAATATAAAGGTACATTACGTTTCAGATGTTGCATCCATGGTGTGTTGTTGCTGCATCTGCACCTTAAAAACTGCACATTTAATCAATTTTCTATTATGCTGTCCCCCCCCACCTGTTTGTGTTGCACTAATGCAATGACACAATTAAGTTTGTTTTATTTGTGCCTGCCCATTTTTTAATCCTTTTCTCATTTTAGACACAGGTGAAAACACCCCAAACAGTAGCCTGGATAACCATGGGTGAGTGTAGGACCTTGATGAGACACAATCTCCATACAGGTGGATGAAGGTAAATGCAATCATTGCCGCGCCCAGAGCCATTCATAGATCAATCCAAAGAAAATCCCCCCAAAGTCTCTTGTTCCAAGGGATCCCAACAACAGGTGCCTACAGATGGATTTAGGACACTGTAAAGGAATTAAAACAACTGTGGACATCACACTGGCTGTCATATGGGGGCCACCTCAGCAGCATATAAGGATACAGAGCCCACCATTTTCTCCAGGGGAACTGATCTCTGCCATCTGGAAAGCAGTTGGAATTCTGAGTGATCTCCAGCCCTCACCTGGAGATTGGACACATTTTCCCTCAGAACAGCAAACTATTTAGAATGTTAGAGGCAAAAGCCAATCAAGTCGCATATGCAAACAACCTCTGTGTTCTGAGGCAAAGGCCAATGAGGCTGCATATGCAAATAACCTCTGTGTCCTGACTGGCTATGGGTGGGAGAGGAACAGCAAACTGTTTAGAATGTTGGAGGCGAGACTCAAGCAATGCAGCCAGTGGATAGGGTCAGATCCCAGAATAGTCTGAAATGAATCCAAAGAACAGAGGGTGGCTAACTGTTTTCAATCACCCAAGCTGGAAGAGGAAGCTGCCATGCCAGCATTCCAGGGGAGTGGAAACTAGTTACTCCTGTGGAAATGAACCATTTGTGAAGGTTGTAAAAACGATGCACCTGAGTAGCCTAGTTAGATGTTGCCTGAGCAGAAAATGATTGCTATCAACACATTTGGAATCCAGCTGTCTTTGCCAATAGAGAACCAACAAAACAAGCTAGGCTAGGAAGGTCATTTTGGTTTACTGAAGCAATCAATGGACTTCTGCTTTGTTTTGTTTCTCATGTGCAGATTTTTGAACAAAATATTACCAGAAAATATTTTTAAATGCTCTACAAGTGCACCTTTCCCCAGATTCTGTAATATTTTCCTATTTGTACCACTAGCCTTTTCTGGATGTTGCATAGAATTCTAGACTCTGGAGCAATTCATATGTCACAACATGGTCCTGCCCCACAGCCCCTTCCCCCAGCCTCCAGCCCCAGAACTCACGCTTGCAACTGCTCTTTGTTTTACCCTCACGGGTAACTTCAGTGTAGTCGATATATCCAGGTACGCATGAGCACCGAAATCCCCCTTCATGGTTTACGCATTTGGCACCCTCGCTACACGGGTTTGAGCGACACTCATCAATATCTGTAAAGAAAAAAGAAGAAAAACTACCATGAGAACAGGACATTTGAAAAGGGAAATGAGAGGCAAAGGCTGAGGAACAACAAACTGTCTCTGAGGATACAACATGTATCCTATGTAGACTGAGTGTCTGTGAGGATGTAGACTATGTATCCTATGTAGACTATGTATCCTATGTAGACTGAGTGTCTGTGAGGATGAACTATAGTTGTGTGAATTAATTAGATCTGATTTCCTGCAAGGCATTTTGCATAATGGGACATTTTGAAAATGCTGTCATTAATCAGTGTCATGCATTCAACATGGATTGCAACCAGGCTAAAGTGCATGTCTTGAATTGTCCTTCAAATGGCAGGGCAGGGATGGCAATGGCTCTCTAACAGGGAGGGCTTCTCTTGAAATTGCAGCGCTTCTCTGGCAGAGGGCTTCTCTTGAAATTACATGGTACATTATCAGTAACTTTGATGAAATTATAAAATATATTTTAGTACATGGCATGCAGGTAACAATGCAAGTTACAAGTGAGAACCTAGGCTACACCACTAAACCTTTATTGGAACTCGGATTCATTTCAGATATAACTTTTAAATATTATGCAACTAACTTATAAGGATAATGACAACTTAATAACACCTAACAGATTCTGAATTAATGAAAACAATAAATATTATATTTAACCACACAGTAATCTGGGACAACATTGGGTTCGAAAGTCAACATCCACATAGAGAGCTGCAATTTCTTCTCTTTCTTGCTGGCCCACTTTCCAGAATTTTAGCCTGAGCCAGAAGACAGGATCAACAGCAAGATCTTCTTTGTCTTCAGGAAGGAACATGCAAGTAGGAAGCTTTTGCAGGCCATGAAACTGGCACTGAGAAGCTCTGCTGCAATGTTAACTAGATGGAGAAGCTAACGGGAAGGCAGTTTGGCTTCATTGCCTCAGCAATTTCCTGAAATTGGTTGCTAATCTGTACATTTTAGCAAATTCATTTTGCTATTTCCTCAATCCTTGTTCCTTTTCTTCACATGCAAAGAACAATCTGCTCTCCAGTGCTGGTTCACACACAGCCAGTTCTTTTACCAGATCAGTAACAGAATACTTCTGCCAGACAGAACAAAGTTTGAGTCCAGTAGCACCTTGAAGACCAACAAAGTTGGTCACAGTGTGCACACAAAAGCTTATACCTTGAATAAAACTTTGTTGGTCTTAAAGGTGCCTTTGCTGCTTCAGACCAAAATGGCTATCCACCTGAATCTGCCAGACAGGTTAGGCATAGCAGCTTTCAGGTTGTTGTTGTTCAGTCGCACACTCGAATCCGACTCTTCGCGACCCCATGGATCATCTCCCGCCAGGCCCTCCTGTCTTCCGCTGTCCTCTGAAGTTGGCTCAATTTCATGTTCGTTGCGTCGATGACACTGTCCAACCATCTCATCCTTTGCCGTCCCCGTCTTCTTTGACCTTCAATCTTTCCCAGCATCAGGGTCTTCTCCAGTGAGTGCTCCCTTCTCATTTGGTGGCCAAAGTATTTGAGCTTCAGTTTCATTATCTGGCCTTCCAGGGAACAGTCAGGGTTGATTTCTTTTAGGATTGACTGATTTGATCTTCTTGCAGTCCAAGGGACTCTCAAGAGTCTTCTCCAGCACCATAGTTCAAAAGAATCTATTCTTCGGCGCTCGGCCTTCCTTATAGTCCAACTCTCACAGCCATACATGACTACTGGGAATACCATTGCTTTGACCATGCGGACTTTTGTTGGCAGGGAGATGTCTCTACTTTTTATCATGCTGTTTAGGTTCACCATCGCTTTCCTCCCAAGGAGCAGGCGTCTTTTAATTTCATAACTGCTGTCACAGTCTGCGGTGATCTGGGATCCCAGGAACGTGAAGTCTGTCACCACTTCCACGACTTCCCCTTCTATTTGCCAAGGAGTGATGGGGCCGGATGCCATGATCTTAGTTTTTTTGATGTTGAGCTTCAAGCCCAGTTTTGCGCTCTCCTCCTTTACTCTGAGCAGGAGGCTCTTTAGGTCCTCTTCACTTTCTGCCATTAGAGTGATATTTCAGTGTTATTAGAGTGGCTTTCAGGTGCACTGTGGAAATCTGCCTTCTGGGCATAACTCACTTCTTCAGCACCCCGTGAATGGACAACACACACACACACATATTTCACTGTGAAGGCTCCTCCAAAAATGTCATTCATAAATGGAGACACTCATGGTTTCAAACATTGTCGAGGCACTTATGGCTACATTCGCCTCCAAAAGGTTCCAGAAGGTAGTCATGTTGGTCTTCAGGAGAAGAGCCAGTAGCACCTTAAGAGACCAACAAGATTCTGGGGATATGAGCTTTTGAGAGTCAAAGCTTCCTTCATCAGATACAAGTTAGAATGGAGATTTCTGAGTCCTGATATCCTAGTCAGAAGATGGGAGGGGTTTGCAAAGAAGGAACTCAGGACGCAGAGGTATAATGCCCCAAGCATTTCCCCACTGCTCTAATCGAGCTGATTACTATGTGCACTGTACCTCTGCACCCTGAGGTCTTTCTCTGCAACACCCCTCCCACCTTATGACTGGGATATAAGGACTCAGAAATCTCCATTCCAACTAGGATCCGATGAAAGGAACTTGGCTCTCAAAAGCTTATACCCTGAAAATCTTTCTTGTAAGCTCTAAGGTGCTGGTGGACTCGAATCTAGCTTGTAATCTACCTCAAATCTAGCCTCTAGATTCTAATTGTGAATTTGAACTGCTAGTAAAATTTCCTGGCTCCTCAAAAAATAAGCTTTTTGCCTCTATAACTGCCATCTACAATAAACAACAATTCAAGTTCATGCTCCTGCTCTACCAGTAGTATTATTCTTCATGGCCAGCCCACCATCAACATCTTGCTTTTTGCCATCCAGCATATGGGTCTTGCTCAGCGCATAGGAGCCTGTTCAATTCACCACACCATGGCTCTGCTCTATTCCAATTTCCAAAGCAGTCAGCACCATTCATAATCCAGCTAGGGACCCATCACATGACTGCTTGCAGCAACGTTTCTAGTCCCTGATGAATCTCTGCACAAATATCTACTAAGAATCAACTAATTACTGTGTTATGATGGAAGAGGGTTGATACCAATGAATATAAGAGGGATGGTATTCTCATAACTCAAAAGAAACTAGAGCTTGGGCCCAAGATGCAAGGTAGATGACTACCTTTGAAATTCATAAACATAAACATAAACACAATTTCAACAAGAAAGAAGAGAGTTTAAAAATAAATAGGGCATGGTTTCCTGTCCTGAAAAACACAAAAGGCTCTACATCTGACAATAGCACTACAGATAAGATTAGAATTTCAACAGCCAATCCACATACAAAAGAACCTCCTCAGGAAACAGGAAACCTCCTCAGGAAACAATCCATATACAAAAAAACCTCCTCAGGAAAGCTCCTCCATTAGCATGTTCATAGCCTGGGGAACTCCTACAAGATAATGATTCAGCCCTACCCCACCTTCTGGAGTAGATATAAATTACCTGCCTACCATTTTCTTCTCACCTTGACATAGAGAGTACTCCATCTTTCTGTGTTATACCTCTGAGGATGCCAGTCATAGCTACTGGCGAAACGTCAGGTTCTACAATGCCAAGACCATGGCCACACAACCTGGAACATCTACAGCAACTAATGAACTCTGGCCGTGAAAGCCTTCGACAACATATAGATGACTAAAGGTTACCATGAGGCAGTGGAATAGCTTGGCAACTACTGCATGAAATGGTGCCATGTTAAGTAGCAGGCTGGGGTATTTAGAAGCTATACCATATGTAGGCATACAGTTGCATGGAAGCCTGCACAGTTTGTGAACCCTCAATCCACAAAAACCACCAGCCATCCTCTTGGGGCTAATGAGAACAGTGAAGTCCAATTTTACTTCAGTGACAGCCTACTAATGGATAAACCTCTTCTAGTTGCCTTCCTGGGGTTGTAAACATGATCAGTGTTAAGTGCCTAGCAGGCCAGTACTCCCTGGTCTTCATTTGGTTTGGTTGATGCAGGCTTAGTTTATGTGAGTAAGAACGCTATACCCATTTTGAAACACTCTAAATGAGATACTGTGAATCAGGAGGTAAATGCATTCCATTATAAATGTATCCTGTAATTAGTGGAGACTGACCACTCGAAGGAAAGTATTATCAGCTCTTGAAAAAGAGTTGGCTTGAAATGGATGCTGTCATGACCCCTAGTGGGTTGCCACTTTCCTCTGCCACCACTCTGGACTTAGGGTCCCTTGGGAAGGCCCAGAGTACCCTCCCAAGCCCAACCAAAATGCCCCCTTTAAGCCGAGAAATATAGGTGTGATGACCAGACAGAGAACATTAATACAGTAATGGGACAAGGAAAACAAGACAAGGTGCTTAAAATATATAACAGTGTCTAAAGGCAAAATAAACAGCTCTTAACGTGGCTACCTATTTCTCTTAACTGGTTACTATTCAAGGCCCACAGCCTTTTATACCAGGCCTGTGCCTCTACTCACTCTGTCCCAAGTGAGGGATCTTTTTCTCAGACCAGACTGTCCCCTCAGTTTAACTCTGTGAGAGTAAAGAACACTGTAGAGAAAAAACGCAGTTCCACAGCCCACAAAATTTAAGTCACAATCTCCTCACACAACCCCTGGACACCGATTGGTTATAACTGTTGCTAAGCATTGTAGGCTGTGCCTGCTTTCCACTCCCACACAGGTCTCCTGACAGATGCTATCAAACGTCCACAGAGATCTGGTTTTGCTGATGCTTTGAAAGCTTGAAGATCAACAGACATCCCCCTGCAGTGACTTTATTAATTGAAGAACTCTTTGAACAAGTTTGGAATACTATGGACTATTTAACATTGTTTCATGTTTGTATTTTTTTGAGATGGACTTACTTCTATGATTGATTATTATTAGGATGATACATACACATTTATATTGTCATTATTGTAATTCAGACATTAAGATATTTTAGCACTTTATTCATTAAATACACAGAGAGAGAGAGCACATTTGGTAAATATTTAATTGGATTTATTGTTGGTTCTGACACAGTAATTGTTCTATTCTGTTACATTATTATTTGCTGTGATCCCAGTTTGTTTATTGCTGCGTTATGTGAAACCAGAAACAAACATAAGCTGTTAGATAATCATCCATCTCTGAATCTGCCTTAAAAATGATAATTACACATTCACATGTGGACACCAGCATGAACGAAAGACAATGCTGGACAAAGAGGGGAAGACAGCACAGGAGAGCAATACAGGCCTTGGCGAACCAGTGTCCATTATGGTTTACACAAAGATCATGTTGACTCTGCAAGAAGTGAATTCTTCCGCAGAAAAATCCATCAACGTTACATGTATAAAAACTCGCCTCCACAAAACATGCAACAATGGTGCATATGAATATATACAAATAATGGATGTGAAAACAAGTTGATCATTAAACCGCCCTGTTAGCCACCCTGAGCCCATCTGGGGAGGGCGGGGTATAAATTTAACAATAAATAAATAAATAAACATATGAAATCAAAATAAATACAAGGTTCTTATATCTGATAGATTAATGCACAAATTCAATACAAATAGACACGTGCAATGTGGGCTTTAACTCAAATACACTGATCCTCCATGCATATCATGTTCACAATAGATACTCTGTACTGATTAAGCTGATTCACTGATTATACATACCTTGCTCTTTGTTCGGAAAGCTCAGATCAGCTTTTAGGGAGCTCCAGGAAATATTATGATTAAGTAGTGACTATCTGTGTCACTTGGAGAATATAATCTCTTCATGTACTCTCAAACTATTCTCTGGGCACAAAAAAACCAAGTTCCACTCATTTTGCAACACTAGAACATTTGCAGTACTGATGTAACTTTAAGAGGTTTCATTATCCATGCATTATTTTGGCTGATTAAGAAAGAAATGTGTTCCCATTGGGCTGTACCTTTGCATATCTTTCTATCATCCTTTGAGCTCTTTCCAAATCCTGGCTTACATTTACACAGGTAATCCCCCATACTGTTGATGCAACTTCCATTGGGTTCACAGATGGAGGCATTTTGCTGGCACTCATCAATGTCTGTAACGAGAAAGTTGTTTCCAGCCTCCAGGTGACACAAGGCAACCTGCTCCAACCTGGTGAAATCACTTATTGCAGCAAAGAAGAAAGCACTAGTGGTTGTGAGAAGACAAGCCATTCCAGTTCCACGACTGGAAAACTCAGCCATGACTGAGCCATGCGAAAAGGCATGCTGTGAAGTAGTCAGAGAAGTGATTCTCAGATGGGTTGCAACAACCTCATTGCTAAGACACCAGGTGGTTAGAGGGAACAAAAAGGCACTCCGTCTAGTGAAAAGGTTAGAATGAATAGGCGCATGCTGAGCACAACAAATTTTGCTGGTGATTCCGATCTGGAATAGATGGAGAACTTCCCAACTTAGAAGAACAAACCGCCAGGAGACAAAGCACCAAGACTTAGTTTTTAAGTAAAGTGTTCAGCTTCAGCAGCTGCAAATACATCAACTTAAGGCAAAACTGGAGCACTTCTCCACCAATGTATGTTCATTCGCTAATCATGAGAATGCTCTGATGTGGACATTGCCCAATGATGTGCTGAGTCTGAATGATGGTTGCTGCTTTTGGTGCCAAATTGTGCAAAGGCAGAAAGAACAGATTGCAACAAACTTCAAGCCACTGGAAGGAACTTTTAGAGGACCAGCATGGCACAGTGGGTAAGAGTGTCTGACTAGACTTTTGCAATCCTGAAACGGAGATGAGCACCACAACCCTAGAGTCTGATTCGACTGGCTTTCGAGCAAGATTACCTCTGCAACACAGAGGGCTAGAATGTTATTCCTCTTTAATGAAAGATGCCATGCAGTTATTCCAAAGAAACCTTCATCATGGGCTATTTTTGTTACCTGCGACTATTTTAACTCTTTTCACCTTTCTTTGAATCTCATTACTGGCTTGGAGAATTTCATAACTGACTTTTCAAAGGCCTACATTAACTATTTATGTAGAAATTTGCACCCCACTTTTCTCCCCAATGGGAACCCAAAGCAGCTTACAGCTTTATCCCCTCCACCATTTCACCCTCTCAACAGCGCTGTGAGTTAGATTAGGCTGAGTGTGTGTGACTGGCCCAACATCACCCAGCATGCTACTATGTCAGAGGTCCCCGAGCCCAGCCACGGTGAGGTGCTTAAAAGAAAGTAAGGTAAAGGTTCCCTTGCTCGAAAGCCAGTCAAATCTGACTCTAGGGTTGCGGTGCTCATCTCCGTTTCAAAGCCAAAGAGCCAGCACTGTCCGAAGACGTTTCCGTAGCCATGTGGCCGGCATGACTAAACACCAAGGCGCATGGAACGCTGTTACCTTCCCACCGAAGTGGTACCTATTTATCTACTTGCAATTTCTTGCTTTCGAACTGCTAGGTTGGCAGGAGCTGGAACTAGAGACGGGAGCTCACTCTGTCATGCGGCACCTGGGTCTTGAACTGCTGAACTACCGACCTTCCACAGCCTGCAGTTCAGCATCTTAACCACTTGAGCCATCGCAGCTCCTTTAAAAGAAAGTACAAATATGTAAACAGAAATAAAGAATATTACTGCTCTGCTACACATTTTCTTTTTTTAAGTGAGCTGGATGAACACCTCAGAACTGGCTTTGCATATGGGGTTAATTAAAATAGCCTTGAGTGTTTTACAGTTAAAACAAGGCCTCAAGAACACTCTAGTGCTGGTAGTTACACAGCACAGATCCAAGTTGTTTTTTAAAATCCTAATAGAGTCCACAGTACCCAATTCTTGATTTTAAAAGGTATGTAAGAAATATACTTTTTAAAAGCTATGTGAACTCTGCACAACAATCAGAATCAAATGCACATTTATTGTGCTAACAATGGATCAGTTCTACATAACAAAAGGATGTAGTGGAAGTGTTTACAAATTCACCACCAGAAGACAGTTCACTGTTCTGAAACATGAACCCAGAAAACACATACCAAACCTAGTACTACAAACAGAAAGAGAAGAAACAATCCAGAAAGGACATAGTGAGACTGATCCTAGAGGAAGCAGTAAGAGGATTTTTGTTTCAATGTTCTAAATATAAAAGAACAATTCTGACTTCACTAGCAAAACAGCTCTCTGTCTGCAGATGTTCCTTGTATCAGCTAAAGACCTGCTTGGCCACCCCCATTTTCACAGCAGTTTCCATGAGGCATGGTGGAGATGGCTTCGTACTTTCAATACTGTTTCGGACAATAGCACTACAAACTGAAGGCGGTCTGTGGAATTAAAATGTAATTGTTTTTAAATGACAAATTATTTTCCTTGTACTGTTGTCCTGTGTAATTCTTTGCCACCAGTAGCAGAGATGGTCAGTCGCGTATGGGCCAACTCATGCAGCCATTTTGGAAACTGAAGAGTCACCACCTAGCTTGTGAGATGCCCAAACCTCCATAGGGAATATTACCTTCTTCCACTTGCAATCGTTCTGTCCATTTCTTTCAAAAAAGAGTGGGGAGATTACTGTCTGTGCTATGGTAAGTACTGTCAGAGTGGTGAGAGCTGTAGCAGGGGCACAAATATTCATGCAGTGCCATGCCTGGAGGAAGCATGCGACATCTCAAGCAATATGGGAACCCAGAGAGCCCTTACCAGTGCATGCAGACATACTGCCACTCCTGAAGTCTTCCTGGAATCCAGCTCTGCAGTGGCAGGTGTAGCTCCCAGAGGTGTTCTCACACTCAGTATGACTTCCACATTTGTTAGGCCCTAGGCACTCATTGATATCTGCAATATATGATAACAAGCTTTGCCGTTTGGCTGCAAACTGTCTCTTGCATGCACTGAATGAGGGAATCTCAGGAACTGAGGATCTGAGTAGTAGCACATGAAAATTCTGACTCTACATGTCCACTGAGACACTGGACTCTCTGAAAAGAGCTGTCAAAACCAAAGGGGTTTCCAGTGTGGGATATGGCACCCCTCTTATCACACAGCATACTGAGTACTGAGACATATTCATGATTTGAAAGCGGACACCCATAGTGTGTGTGTGTGTGGGGGGGAATCATCATTAGCTTCCCCCACACACACACCTTCCAGTACAGAACAACAGTAGCTTTCATGTTAAAGTGTGCATTTGTAATCTTTCTTGGTGTTAGGCTTCTGGCTTCCTCATGAGGAATTTGGGGAGGGACCCTGGCTCAGGGGTAGAGCGTCTTCTTTCCATGTAGAAAGCCCCAGGCTCAGTCCCTAGCGTTTCCAGCTAAAAAAGATCAGGAAGGAGATGATGTGAAAGAGTTCTGCCTGAGACCTGAAGAGTGGCTGCCAGTCAGACAAGACAATGTTGACCTTGACAGACTAATGGTCTGACTTAGTACAAGGTACCTGTATGTGCTTTCTGTTGCAACTCCTTTTGCAGTTAGAGTATTGTTCTCTTGATGCTTTGTGTCCACCTTATTTTGCTGCTAGACTGGTTTTTCTCTGGTAGGGAGTTCTCAGGTTCCATTAGGCTGCTCCATTCCTCTTTGTGAGGAATCCATAGCTTGTTGCCTTGTGTTTGCAGCCTACCTTTCATGTTTGTTTTTTGAAGATATTTTTATTGCCCACTATTGCTTCTTCTTCTGTACGACATGTAGGAGGTGAACTGCTTCTTCAGAAGGTGTAATCTGTTTACAAATATTGCAAACAAATGATTGCCTACTAGATGGTCTTTGAAGCATTTTCTCCAAGTAGTAGTCTGCAACAGGTTTTCTTTGCTCAATTCACTTTTGGTTTGTCATCATTTCTCCCACCTCTCCTTCTATAGTGTTTGTAAGCATCTGAAGCTGTGCATTATGTAGAGCACAAACAACCAAGGTTAAGATCATGAGTCTTGATCTAACCATAAAATGCAAATTACAGTCTTAAGCATCCTAAATTTGTCTTGTATCTTTGCATGAGAGGAAGAGGAGGCTTCTTTCTTCAACCTACAATAGTTTTGCTACTCTGCATTTTTTAAAAAATGCAAATAGCAGAATAGGACAACCAGTTCTGATTATGAAAACTAAGTGCAGCTGAAGGGTTAAACTCCCTTCCCTTCTCTACAATAGCCCTGAGACAGAAGAAGGCCCCATGAGCCTGCAGGTTGTATTTTATAGATGGATCAAGACACACGATCTTAAACCTCATTTGTCTGAGCCCATAATTATAAGACACAATATTGTAACAACATCTGCTTCTTTTGGGAAACGAAACAGAACTTTAGATAAGTCTTTGACAATGGATTGATTTTTAAACAACTGCTAGAAATAGAAAGTATACATGTCCTGTCAGGAGCAATCCTAAACTGGTTGCTCAAAAGTCAGTCTTCTTTTCCAATGAGGCTTATTCCCTGGGATGCATTCTTAGGAATATAGCTGTTAGCTATCAGCCCTCTGGGAAAGATCACTACTGGAATATGGCATGCTCCCAACAAGAGCAAAAATAACTTTTGCCTTTTTTCAGAATTTTGAATGACTTTGCTGGTGTGTATATGTGTGTGAGAAAATGGGGGAAGGAATAAAGGAACAGCTACTCTAAAAAGAAATGAGTGTTAAAGGAGTTCTGCAGCTGGTTGACACCTGGCGATATTTCAATCCATTGGTAAAACACTACAGGTTCTATTCAATACCATGTGACACATACTCCTGAACTGGTATGTTCAGGGTAACTCCAGGACTGATTGGACTCACAGCTAATATTCAGATTAAAAGTTAAGCTTTCTTTAAGAACAAAACCAGTTTCAGACAACTGAGATTAAACAATTTCATGTTGGTAATCCTACCATTATGAAACATTTGCAGGTCTCATCGAAGATTCATAACAGAGGTAATAAATTATATTCCAGAATCAAGAAAGGTGTTCAGCTTCAGTCAGGATACCAAAATAGTTGTGATTCCCAAGAAGAGGAAGTCCTGTCTCGCTCCTGAACAACAAGCCCTTTGTATTCTGGCCAACACATTAAATGAGATTTTGCATAACCATAAACATTATGATGAGTTGTAGGCAGGGGTCCTTTTGTAAAAAAAAAGAGCTAGGGGAACTCATTAGCATAACTCATTAGCATATGCCACACCCCCTGACATCAGGGGCCCGGCAGTGGACCTGCAAGGCCAGCGGGCGTGCGAGGAAGCCCCGCCAAGGCCCTCCCTGGCCCCAGGCAGGCAGGGGTGGGGAGAGGCGGGGAGGAAGCAACTTACCCTCCCTCTTCTCCTGCCTCCTCCTGGCTGAATGAGGGCTGGAAGTGGGGCGGCCGGAAGCAGGGGGCGGGGCTTCGTCATGTGCCCTGCCCCCCTGCACCTCACCCGGGTGAACTGTGTTCCCCCGTGTTCCCCCCCGAAATGACCTCTGGTTGTAGGGTTCTTTTTGTAGAACAGGAAAATGCAAAATTATTTTGTAATTTAAAAAAAATGAAACTCAGCTTCTGGCTCAAAACAAGTTCTATTATTACACTTATACAGCCAAAAAGAAAGAAAGAAAGCTTTAGACAATGTTGAGTTATAATTTTTACTCCAGGATTTGAAGACATTTAATATGAGAGAATTTTTAAAAATATCATAGCCACAAGGTCAGGGTAGCAGCCAATGGGTTATCAGTGCTTTTGATCTGACCCAAGGAACAAGACAGGGATGTCCACTATCATGATCATGTTGGTATTAGAACCACTGACAATAATAAAAGGAAATGATAAGGAAAAAGGGAGTATTGTCCACAAATTACATATTGCTGACTATAGCAGAACCTGAAAACTCCTGCAAAGTGGTCAGTGATACCATATGCACATTTAGCTGGATATAACTAAGGAAAAAAAACAGAGACTATGCCATTTAATATAAACAGAAAAAGAACAGAAGAAATAAAAAGATTTTCCCTATTACTGCCCTGACAAACTTGTAAGATAGTCATGAATGTACTTGGGGAAAAAAATCAGGATCTCTACAAACATAAGTATGACAAACTACCTATGGAAATCTAGTTAACACAACAGTGGGCAAAGCTGACATTACCCTTTTCTGGAAGAAAATTACAGGTGAGAATTAGGGTTGCCAAATGGATTTTGGCCGGGAGCGGGGGGCTCCCGGCTGGCGTCTAAATCATGCGCGCGCGCACAGCGCGTGCGCGTCACCTGGAAGTGACGTCGCACGCTGGGGGTGGGGCCACGCCATTTGAGGGGGAAACTCTTTGTTTTCCCCTCAAATGGCGTGGCCCCACCCCCAGCGTGCGACGTCACTTCTGGGTGGCACGCACGCGGGGGTGGGGTTTTCCCCGGGCCCCGATTCCGCGGGAGCGGGAATCGGGCCTTGAAAGCGGGGGGAAATCCGCCCCCCCGGGGGGATTTGGGAACTCTAGTGAGAATACTACTACCAAAATTAAATTTCCTCTTTTAGTTTTTCCCTATTAAATTGAACTTAGAAAAAATAAATGCCATCTGTTAAAAATATTTGGGAAAGTAAAATATTTGGGTTAAAGACATTTGCAATGCAATTCTAAGCAAAATTATGCCTTCATAGGTCCATTAAAGTCCTACTGGCCATCTGCCAGGTGTGACTCTGCTTAGGATAGCACTGCCTGGAATGTAGAATTACCAGCACAGAGGAGAGGCTGCATTTCTCAGTGTTAAGAACAGTTCTGTTACTTATGAGTCTAATCTCTTTAATGGTCAGTCGGTGTTCCTCCCTTCCTGAGTGTCAAAAAGAGAGCAGAGACTTCTTTCATTTTTAGTGGAAGTGCCCTTATTCTAAGAGGTTTTGAGGTTGATGGAAAGAATCTTGGGTATGAACTTGGATACTCATTGGTATCACATATCTAATAGCCAAGTGTGCCCCGACCTGTGGATACTTAAATCTGTGGATCAGGGCCATGTTGATACAAAGGAGACTTTTGTTCAAATGTAGGGAACCCCCTAGGTTTGCAGAAAAATCTGAAGCCTTTTAAAAAATTCACAAAACCAAAATAGGACCCACGGTAAGTAGGAAATACCAAAAATCAGCAAATACCGTGCTACAAACAATTATAAAATATCTCAAATAATTTTTATAGAAAAATTTTATAGTAAATTATATCGCCAAGAAGTATTAAATCCCCAGGCTACACAGGATTATATTTCAAGGTGGAATAAAAAGATCTTTGATGAAAAACAAAAGTCTGCTCTAAACAGTCCAATATCTTGCTGCGAAATAATTGAAAGTATTAGACAACAGAAAAGAAATAAAGCACCAGGGCCGGATGGTATACCTATAGAGATATATCAACAATTTGAAGATCAAATTTTACTTCCCTTTAAAGAGGTAGTAAAAGAAATAGTAAAGGTAAAGGTAAAGGTTCCCTTGCTCGAAAGCCAGTCGAATCCGACTCTAGGGTTGCGGTGCTCATCTCCGTTTCAAAGCCGAAGAGCCAGCGCTGTCCGAAGAACAACGTTAATCCATAAGCCAAATACAGATGAAAGGGAGGTAAAAAATTATAGACCAATATCTTTGCTAAACGCTGATTATAAGATTTTTGCTTCGATAGTTGCGACAAGACTGAAAAAGGTTTTAGTAGATCTAATTCATCAAGATCAGGCAGGATTTCTTCCAAGGAGGCAGATCAAGAATAATATAAGAGTGATTATGGATGTGCTAGAATATTATGAATTACATCCAGGAAAGCAACTAGCGTTAATATTTCTAGACGCAGAAAAAGCCTTCGATAGGGTAAACTGGGACTTTATGTTGCAAAAGCTTGCCAAATGGGAGTGTGGAGAGAATTTCTATACGATGATAAAAGCA